GTTATCAAATTAGTTAACTCCCGGCATTTGAAAATGCTTACGCTGTTACGAAATCTACAAAGTGACACAAAATTGCAAAACGCATCATGTAGACGGACATAACTACGGATGAGCAGCATAATTTGTGATCGCAGTTGGCTGTGTTTCAAAAAACTGTCCTTTACTTTTTAAACTCTAACACAGTGCAAGAAACAAGAAATAAGGAATAAACGATAAAAATATAAGGAATAAGAAATATCCTTTGCTGTATTTTTTGTTCCTTATTTCAGTGTTGTGGGTTTTCACACCCATTTGTCCATATTTCGCTCTGAATGTGAAACATTTGAATTTAAACGTCAGGACTTCGACAACTCAACCACTTTTTACACAATTGTACAATGAAGTATTGCATAATAAAATAACCCTCATCCTTTTCATCATGTGATAACAGGGTGAAACTGTAGAGAAATCTACCCGCTTTCCTGTTTGAAAACTTTAGGTCGCCCATGAGGTAACAGACCATTCATGGTTTGTTTTGTTATTTTCAATAATTACGCCTGAGCGTACACTTTCGCAATATCTCTGTGCTATCTTAACAGTGATCAGCTCTTCCTACTACTTACAAGTTGGACCAACAAGAATATTCCTTGTGATGTTATCCGTCATATTGTTATCGTTGTTGTTCTATTTAATTTGACGACAAGAATATAGTAGTTTTGTTGGATGAAACAAAACTAAAGGTACTTTTTCTGTTGTACGAACCTGAGCTAGCAATGATATTGATATTATAATACATATATTAGATAAGTATTATGTTAATTTCCGTGGCCTCTTTAGATGCTCTTATGGAATAGCACATATGCAAATATCGAGTACCTAAATAAAAATCTAGTCAAGTTTTTGTTTTTTCGTGTGTCCTTTCAGCAAATTAATTTTGAAATCTGTCATCCGCTTGTCATATCAACTGTTACGAATTAATAACTCTTACATGCTTTTACATTGAGTTTGACATCGACATGATAACTGTCTCCAAAGAATGACGTACGGAAAAAATTGGTCGAAGGTTATTTCGACAGAATTTTCCTTGCCCTGAAATATACCTATCCAGCTTTTTCGAAAAATTATAAGATTTGATTTTGCGACTTTATTTTTTATGATAACCCCTATAAGTTAATAACAAACTATGTAATGTTAAAGTAAAGATAAACAAACGTGCTTTGCAAAGGTATCAATGAGTGTTTCCATTACAAAATTTTGTGATACCGTCATCAAAATTTGTGCAGGGACACGTACGTCAAATTGAATAGATGCAATGTAATACAAATAACCACAGTATTATATTGCCAAATTTTAGGAAAACATTGAGTGAGTCGTTCTTGATTTCAGCAATAAAATTGTTTTATTTCTTGTGTCACTTATGAATTTTTGTCGGTCACCCTGCATAAGTTGCGCTAAAAAATATGAATGTAACCATTAACTACTATCATAGACGGATAAATTTTGAATAACAATTTACAATCTTTTCAATAATCTTAGAACGTTTGCAAGGTTTCATAGCATTCGGTTTAAAAGCTTCAAAATTAAATTGCAATATGTTGTTATATACATTTAAATTTTTTACCAAAAACAAGTGCAGGAGTATCTTATACTTTGAAATTTAAATAACATTTACTATTGTAAATTTTCAAGATGACATCATCACATTATTAGTGGGGGTGATTAATAAAAGTTTGATTGGAGTTTTACCACTTACATCGAAATTTTGACAACAATCGGTCCAGTAGTTTCGGAGAGACAAACAGACAGACAAACGGACGGAAGCGGGAGATCACTTTTCTCCTACTCTCGGGGTCATGAAATGTTGAAATGTCGAAAAAAACATGAAACTGGCAAGTCACCCGATGGACTCGTTTAGTATATTTCCTTATCTTACGCTCGGAAAATAAAAAACTACTCCTGTAAAATAGGAGGCAAGCCTCTTGACCAAATTTTTAATTAGACACCTGTTACAATGTGCATATGCAGACATTGAACAGTTCATTAATAACATTAAATAGTGATCTAACAATTCTGAAAGATAAATTACGAAGATTAGTCTCACGAATCATTACCAGTTCAATAAACATTTATTAGTTAATACAACAGGGAATGTGACAAAAAAAGTAAGCAAGAAACTTCTATTCCTGGACGTGTTCGAATATGTATCTACAACTTGTTGAACTGCTTGACAGTCGATTATAGAATGCAGATCAGAAAAACCTAAAATTCAGTATAATTATCGTACCTAGATTTTGTATGATTTATCCTTAGCTATCAGAAATTATTATAAGAGAAAGTCTTGCAATGAATCAACAGCTTTCACAGAGATATTTAAATGTTGAAAATAGTTTTTTAAGAGTTACAACCCCTCTCATGTTTTGTCTTCAAGACTTAGTTTCTTGTCTCATGCTCTGTTCTAAAATCATGTAAACGAGAAACATGTCCAGAGAACTAGAAGCCGGTCTAACACTGTGATGGAAGAGCTTTTGGAAAATCATTTTTATTAAGTGTATATGCATATAATAATTCAAGTGAAGGTACGCTTAAAATAATTAAATTTATGTTTTTTTTATAGATATCAACAAGTAAATCCATTGTAGGTTTGTAGTAAGGTACAATTAACAACACTTGGTACTCAACGAGTAAAATGTTTTTCCATCCAGGACAGAAAAAAAGACTTTAGCCGTCTAGCGTGTGGATCAAAGAGAATGCACTGAGTAATGGCAACAAAAAGAAGTAAAGAAAATGTTGACTCGTAAAAATTCTGACAGACAGAACACTGAATGGTGAATGTCGAATTGAAATGTTTCCATGTGAAACTGTTTTGATGCGATTCGTGGCATGGAAAAGGCAATGAGATCTGTTTGTAGAATTAGAAGTATAATTACGGTAACCGCAATTATCTGCAGAAAAAAACATACTTTTTCTAGCTTTGATTAAGGAATTAACTTAGTTCTAGTAGAAAACATAGTAAAATATGTATACGAAGGTGTAGAAGGTGAGGAAGGTACACACGCAAACTTACCTTTGATAACTCATAGACTTTCTTTCAAAATAAAACACTTTTCATGTCAAGGGACAAATTTTGAATGTAAATACAACAAAAAATAAGAGTAGTTATATTAATATATTTCTCGATATTTTTTAATCTGAAGGAATTTTAAAAATAAATACTATGTAAAGATTAACACAAATAGAGTTTAGACATCTCCTTTTCTTTTTCATTTGATCATACTAGTCTTGTTGAAATGTCCATGTTTTCTGGGTAATTAATTAACTACTCCGGTCACATCATTCCAAAACAATGCAGTAGAAAATCAAACTTTGTCAATAAATATCTAAAAAGTCATCGTTTATTATTTTCTTTTGTTATCTGGTGTACGTTTCACCGACGTTTCCAAAAAGGAGAAAAAAAGGATATAGTTATTAGTTATTACAGAGGATTAAAATATGCCTAATGAGGTATGGTTTTAGTTTTAATGAAATATAGTTATTTCCAGTACAGAACTGATGATCACCGACATTGTGTCGAGGAATTCATTAGAATGTTGTGAATTATCTAAACTAACTTCTATTAAACATCTAAAAAGTCTACGTTTATTATTTTCTTTTGTTATCTGGTGTACACCCTGTTCTGCATCGACCTTTCCAAAAAGGTGAAAAAAGGATAGTTATTAGTTATTACAGAGGATTAAATTGTGTCTAATGAGGTATGGTTTTAATGAAATGTATTTCTAGTACAGAACTGATAATCACCGACATTGTGTCGAGGAGTTCATTAGAATGTTGTAAATTATCTAAATTAACTGAACTGATTTATCAGCTTATGTGAAACGTTATGGAAAAGTACATACTCCCTTTGACAAATCAGAGTTCGATCGGTATTGTTAAGGGTTAACTAAAACGTCATTTTGTTGAGAATATATTACAACATTGTTGGGAAGATTGTATAGCTTGTCATAAAATATTGGACAATTTGTTTCATTTTGGTAACATAAAGACTTGATAAGAAAGCAAAATTCGTTTTATGTGAAAGATTAGCAATATTATCTCAATCAGAACAAATGTTTTAAGAGATTTTAGGCTTAAACTTCCAGGACATTTGTAACAAGTGGCTGCTGTTAATCTATTACAACTTCAAGGTCACTAGTACGTTGTAGTATTATTCAAGATACAAATACAAAATTTTAAAAAATGACAACCAATTTTTACTCCATAAGTACTTTAGAACTCGTTTGAAAAATTATGGTAGATAATAATTTTCGCAAAAAATAAATTATCTATAAAGAAGGTTTTGCAAAAGTTATAGATCTTCTGTTGGAATTTTCGGTTCAATGTATCTCAAAATAATTGTAAGTTCATGGAGTCACAAAATAATAAGATCAAAAATATTTATTTTCAAAATGAGCTCAGATTCATCGCATATTCGATGCAGTGCTTTCTATAACTTTTCAGCCCTGCAAATTGCTACAGAGGTGCTTATAAACAAGTAACTTCAAGAAAATGTTCTCAGTTTCTAAAAAGACTATTTCTTCTTGGAAAAAATGAAAAGAAAATGTAAAGCAGACAATGAACTTCGATGAAAAACAAAATATTGTGAAATCGCCAAAATTGGCCACAAGAAAATCGAATACATTGCCAAAATGCTAAATGAGAAGAGTAGTTTAACTTAACCTAAAAATCAATAAAAGCGATAATTTTGTATTTTATACTCGTATGAATTATTATTATTGTTGTCTGTTGTAAGCAAAATTACTGAAATAAATTGGTTTTCAAATAGCTAACGTTTACAAATGTAAACCAATTTGTATCGTAGTAGTAATTCTACATCCATATTCCATCCAAGAACATTGTTACTTTCCTCTGATATTCAAATGACATGCTACAAGTGTTTAGAATCTCTACGAGCTTTCTTTAGATGAGAAACGAAATGCAAACAATCTTAACGATTTTCTGTAAAACGTGAATGTATTTAGCGCGTGTATTTACAACATCTTTATTAGGAAAATTATTGTCTATAACATTACTTACGAATATCTGGACATATGGTATAACTATCTCCTTCATAAAATATCTCCTTATTGTACAGTTGACAACTAACAGCTCAATTTTACATTTATATGATTTAATAATTAATTAGCTTCTAGTATTAAATCTTCTTCCCGTCCTGGCCGGGGGTGCTGTAGCTGGCTCCTCAGCAGCGGGTTCGCTACTTTTTGCATTGTTAAATCGACGCCTTCCTCCTGATGAGGCCCTCGACGGTTTAGCTGCTGGTTCATTTTGTACAGCAGCAGGTGCCGATTCCTCGGCGTCAGTTGCCTGATTCACTTTATTATTCTGCTTGTCTGAGAAAAAGTGAAAATGTACTAACTAATATAATTTTTGTAAACTGATGCATGACATACTATGAGCAGCTTGTTCCCTCCTACGTTTCAAGGTTGCCAACAAGTCGTCATTACTCCTGAAAGGTCGCACAATTCCTCCTTTCAAGAATTTTTTCGGAGTTTCTGTGGTCGAACTGGTTTGCTCTTGTGGTTCTTCGCCCACTTCTTCGTCCACAGGTTCTTCTTCTTCTTCCTAAAAATCAAAACGCATAGGATTTCAACTTTTATTTTAATTAAATGTTGCAGAAACTTGACTTGGTTGTGCAATTTGTCTGAACTAGTTTATTTGCTGCAATTGAACAAGTACGTGGAATTATTAACGTGAACTTTTTGTATTTTACGGTTGTATGTAAATGCTGATTTACGCTGAATTCTTGAAATGGTCGAAAGTAAAGTCGATGTTAACTGATAATAACTCTCACTTGGCGGATGACGTACCATGCTGTTTTTATTTCGGGTTGATGGCCCTATGTTTTTTATATTGACAACCGGATACGGACGTGCACGTTACAGTTTTCGTACTGGGCCAAAAGAAAGTTCCAAATGCTCTTAGGCGCCATCACATTATTATAATACCATGTCTGGATATATGTCATTAATAACTGATAAATTTGCCGCTGCTTTCAAACATCGAACACACTTTAAAGAAATACACGTTTTCGTTTTCAACCTTTTTATGTCTGGATAAAAATTCTGAAATCAAATCAGGTCTTCTACAATTTTCATACATAAAATTTTATTTTTGTCGATGAATTTAAATTAACCTCGATCTTGTTGTTCTGGTTGTAGAAAACGAAACGAAAATGTCATGGTGCAGTGATTAAAAATTTAGAATATGTTAATACAGTTACTTAGGTGAATTTTAATAAACATATTTCTGGGTTTAAAATAACTTTGACAGTGATGTATGCATAATTTTTACTTAATTTTAATTTTAATCCTAGTGTAGAAAGTTATATTTACCGTTATTTGCCAAAACTGTTACGTTAATTTCAATATTATTTGATTAATTAAATTAAAAAATGCAGTATTCTTTACCCAAACTTTTTTAAATTTTCTCTAATGTTTTCAAAATGAACTCTAAGTACATCAACACTGTTGCTAATAATATATATCTATATATAAAACTTTATCTTTGAAGTCTAAAATAGAAACTTTCATTTTTTCCCCATTAAGTTTGCAATAAATTACCCGAAAAGTAGGTGTTGCATTTATCGTAGTCCAGAACAAAATAACAGTTTCCTACAGAAATAAATTTTATCATCTCATTTCTGTTAATAATATTGACTGACTTATTGAACCACTTAACCCAATCCAAACCGGTCAAAGTTACATCACATCTTGAAAATTAAACAAAAAAAAACAAAGTAGTTCAAGTTTATCGACATAATAAATTACTAATTCTCTAATCGATAGTTCTGTTTTATTAAATAATAATGTTAAGATGTTACTTGTTATTTAAATTTGGGATATTTTAAACGATTAATTAAAGAATTCATTTGTAGATATGTAAACAATATAGACAATAAAATTAAATTACAAAAATTACGTATGGACTAATATGATCGAAAACATGTAACTGAATACCTCTGATGGTGGGGGTGGCGCTGCTGTAGTTGAAGTTTTGGCGTTTCTTCCCGCTAATGGATTGCGTCTACCAATCAGGGAACTTCGTGCTGGAGCTTTCTTTGGTGGAGGTGCCGGTTCTTCATCATATTCTGCATAATCTTCTTCCGCTGGTCTAGCAGAACTTAAAGCCACTAAACAGACTAGACCAAAGAGTACCCTAAAAACATAAAATATACTTTTGTGAGTAATTGTCGTTGTGTAGTTTACTGAGAGGTTTAGAGTATGCTATGGTTAAAACAGTAAAACGCTTACAAAAATGTGTCTATTCGTCTAAGATTAATTTAGAGACTAGTAAACAATACAATTTATTTACTGATGACGATCAAGAAATTTATAACGTTACCTGAAACCTTATTTATTAAATCTTCAATGAAAAGTATTGATGACATTTGGAGATAAATTTAGTAAATATTGTAAGTCAGGACAGTAATAATACATTAAACACACAACATATTTATATAATTATATTATTTCCCACCAAAATATTATAACACTATTTCAGGAGGTGCATTGTCTCTGCTTCTGGAGCAATGGAAAACCTGCAAATAAATTTTGCTGGCAACGTTATACCAAAAAATGTTTGTAAATTTTAGGAATCAGAAATGTCACTATATTTTTATCTTTATTACTGAATCAGTATTTTATGAAGGATTTGGATCTTAAAAAGATTTTCTGGTGGAGAAAAATATTAATGTCTTATTATTTTTTGTCTTACAGTTTTTGTTCAGTGTATAAATCAGTTAATGTTAAAAATGGCATGCAATGAACGTTTAACCACCTTCCTTAGCAGCACACGCACCATTAGAAGAAAACTAATCAGGTCTTATTACCTAGTTATTATTAGACCGATTATGATAGCGGTTCAGAAAAGGGTTGGCTTACAATTCTTGCGACGGAATGTGTACTAGAATGTCGAAAACTCATAACACAACTTGTTTACAAACACGTCCAAATTTTCTCTATGAAGTCATCTTAAGTGAGTGTGAAGTAGGCAAATTCTGTCAGCATGTACTACTTTCAGATATTTTTGTTATTATCCCTTAAATGAAATGGAAGTAAATTTTTCGAGGAAAAATGATTCGATATAATTATTTTGAAAAACTAAATTCATGGTGAAGTACAAGCATGAAACCTGTAACATATTTACAACTAACAAATATGCAACCATATTTTGTTAATCAATTAATCACACACATAGCAACACACTTTACATTATCAAACTTAATATCAAAGATTTGCAAACTCCACATAAAGTAGGTTTTAAACGTTTATATCTAGAGTAAGTAACTCGCTTTATTTTATTTTTCACTATTGTTTATTTAAAAAAAATGGGTCTTTTACCTGTTGATATAGGATTATCTGTCGAAAAATTTAATACACAATCAACATAAATGTATGAATGATGCGTATTTTAAAGCATTGATCATATTCTTTTTTCGATTAACATTTACAAAATCATTGCTTAAAACTTAGTTCACTTGCTGTGCTCAAGAACAAATTTTATCTAGAATATCAAAAAACTGTATTAATTGCCCATTTTTTCTATTGGCTTCCATATTTTAATTGGAATTGCCTCTCAAATTAGCATTGTTGCAAAGAAAAACATTAATTTCAAGATATAAAATTTATTCAAAAGTTTATGTTGCCGTCAGTTTTATTTTAAACCAATTGACACCTTGAAATCGCACTGCTAATTTCGTTTTCAAAATTTTCTACATTAAAACAAGCAACTTTCTACCGCGTTCGCTACCTTGCGTTTACTAATTTTGGTGGTAATTGTTATGGCGCAATTTTTGTTATACAACTAAACTCTTGATAACTTTTTAAAATATTATTATTATCGTCATCTAATTTTAGGAAACTGATTTTCAAAATTAATGTAACAATAATAAAATACACAAGACAAGGACAAAAAAGTCAGGAATCAAAGAAATATATATGCGAACATTATAGATAAACCTGCAAAATCATCTTACCTATACAATGTTAATTAAAATGTACAAAATATGGAACAATGCAAATTCTAACGTACTAAGTTCACATATTAATGACAATTGGTATTTTACATATATTTTGAAAATAATTATTTAACTAATTTTTACCGACATATGTTTCCGGATGCATGTGACCTCTACGTAGGTTAATCTAGAAGTATTCAAAACACACAAATAAATTTCTATAAAAACAATTATTTAGCAACAAATTTTGACATCCAACTCAAATGATATGGAATCGCGTTCAATTTCCAGTATGTGCTTGAAGACGTTTACCTGCCTACGACATCCTTTGTGTATTGCAAATATGCGTAACATATTGCTGTGTAGCAACACAATGTTTAATAGAAAAAAATTATACCACGTGGTACACTCAGTGAAAGTGAGGTGTCATAGGTCAGACTGTAATTCATATGACTCGCTGTACATTTGCTGTTATAAGCAAAAAATACTGAACTTTTAAAATTGTTGATAGGTCTACAAAAACTCTGTTTAAACAATTTGCTGACATATCAGAATAAAATTGTTTAAACAGAGAAATATTTTGTGTTAAACAAAATTCTGACAACAAAAGTAGGCTGCATACATAATGTAACTACATTAACCTCAAAACATGTGGCCGATGATTAAAAGATTGTTAAACGACACCAACCTTATGGTTATACAGTTGTAACATAGATATCTACAATTTTAAAATATTTGATTTTTACAAAATAATTTCGTCTTAAGGTGATGCTAAATAAAAATTCTTTCAATTTTCTTCATTCTGAACAGTTTATAGCAAAAACTGACTGTTTTATCTCTATACAATTATATGTTAAATGTCATCAGGCTCATATCGTCATGTCATCTGCCTAAAAAAACTGACATAGAAATATCTTCTCTATTTTTGTTTTTTCAAATATATAATTTAATGGAATCAATTTTTATTTCCAGAGATTATGTTAAAGAAACACTGTAGTAGGACCGCCACAAATGTCTAATAACTTTATGCTTTCTCGACATTTCACGACTTGTGGAGTACGAACCCTTTTTCGCCATTCTGTGTGCGATATTTTAAGGTTACCGTGACAGAGAAGTTGTAAAATTCCATTTTACAATTAAATTTAATTTTTTTGACAATAACCCATATGCGCAAAATTAAAAATGTGGGCACCTTATTTAATCATTATATTTTCAATTGAGACATATTTCGCAAAATTTTAAGATTACAAATTTTGGTTGTTTTTCTGTCTACAACCTTCGGATACGTTGACATTTTGTTTGTTCTCTTCATTGCAGAAGTCGACTAATAGTAGATTGTTTAACAAGCAAAAAAACTGGCAGCTTTCCAGTGAGCATTAAAGGTTCGCTTCGCTTGTTAATAATTAACTTTTTTCCGCTACCGATAGCGTAAATGAATCTTATTGCTCCAATAACACTGACGTAAACGTGAGTGAAGTAAATAAGGCAACATCGTTGCTACTACGTTAAGTAGGTTGCTAAGCGCGTAAGTGTTACTTACGCTGCAAGGACAAAAAAGTACCTAATGAATATCAAAGAAATGCCAATATTTCGTTTTAGTTAAAAACTGACCAATTTGAAAATCCGTTGTATGATTATTATAACGGATTTTTTATTTTTCTGGTAACAGAGAGACGCAAGCACTCTCGGCAGCCTTTTCCATTGCTCTTAATTCATTTGACAAACTCATTTTTTACTTTGAAGAACTCCTTTTGTGACTACTTTTTAGCGATTTCATGAGTGTAAACAACGTGTTACTCCGCAAACGAAATATGCATCCAACGCATTCCTGATAATTTCTTAAATATTTTTTAATAATGATTAAAATTATTACTTTTTAGTGTTATTGGTGTTGCTGGCAAAAAAAACATAATACAATAGTTACATTACACGCCGCGTAAGTTCTTTCTTAGCCTCGGAGGTTTGCCGGACCTCGGCTTTTAACTATTAATCGAGCATGGAAAAAAACTTTTCTTGCGTACTGAACATGCTATTTTTTCATGTACTCAGTTTTTAAAGTTTAAATTAACAAAATTTCAAAAGTTCAAAAGTGGCTATTTTCTTTAAAACAAAGACACACTTTTCTATTGAATACACAAAAAGCTGTATTTTATTGATGCCCTGTAGAAATTTTATAAGCATCTCAAAAAATAACCAATAAGTACCTACTTTTAGAAGCTACTAACATAAACATGAGGTGTACTTTCGGATTTCCGGTTAGGTTTGATCACCAACCAAGTTGTTGGTCACCTCTACCAAAAATTGTATAACAACTTCATCTTAAAATTTTGCTAGGGAGATACTATTACCTTCTTAACCATAGGTTTTTGGAAAAAAATATAACGAAACTTTACAATATATCTTAGAAAGTGCAAATATGTGTGCATTGAAATTTTGCACACATTTTAGCGTTATCGTAAACATGGTAATTTTTTTTATTTTGCTAAGGAAATCTCGCTTGAAGTGTATATCCTGGGTAAAAAAAAGGCCCAGGTAACTATCCTATTTTTTTACGTGAAGAATTGTGTGATGTCAAATTAAGTTGTTTCAAATCTAGTGCAATCTAATTTGAGAAATTAAAGTTTAATGTTCATTTATTGTTGTCTACGACTTTTTTTTAAGTATATATATTTTTTAGGGGTTTTGTAGAGATTGCTTTTCTGCATTAATTGATGTACCGTTATCGGTCGTCTGATAATAACGCATTCATATCTGTATTTTTAATTATAAATGATATAATAAGTGAAATATAACAGTTATACAGAAGAGCAGTAAAAAAACAGGGTCAAAGACAGCCATGGATTTTTGAAGATAGACTTTTCGTCTTGTCAGATTATAGTCTATTTGAAAGTTTGAGTTAAAAATGTTACAATCATAGACAAATTTTCAAAAATTCATGGCTGTCTTTCATCGTGTATTTTATTGCTCTCTCAGTATAAGCACTGTTCGTGAATTCTCGAGTGTTGTGTGGGCACTAGTAGTGTTCGATTCTTTGTCAGACAGCGAAACTCGTTTTTTGTTAATTAAATTTAAATTTCATTAATTAGTATTACTATTCTATTGCAACTAAGAATACGCCTGACACCTTTTATAATAACACGTCTTATATAACTGATAGTATGGATGCTGCGACTCAGAATTTAGCCAAACGAATGCTTCA